AAACACTGTGAAATACAGCGCGATGCTGCCTTAGAGCCCTACCTGCTGGGACAAAAAAAAAACACCTGTCCACTTCCTGTCCATCTGCACAGTAATAAGAATACAACACCCAGCCCCTCCTCCTCACAGAGTCTCTGCTTCTGGTTTGTATTTCATTTTCATGTCAGCGAAAATTATTTTTTTAATTTTCAGATGAGCTTGATCAATAGTCTCCATGAATTTTGTAAATTTTACCTGTTCAAATGTGACAATGAGTGATTTAGAGGATTGCAGTTTGCTAAACCTGTGTCAGCATCATCAGCCATCATTAAATCTGCTAAAATCACAGTGTCTGAGTGGTTTTTGATTCAGTTTTTTTAAGGGACCCTCTTAAATACACAGATCAGAGATCAGGCTTTTTTCCCCCCTAAGCCACTAGAAGGCAATCAGGACATGGTTACATTTATAAAGTCTTTAAATCTAGCTGATGAAAGCTGTTTGGGTTTTAATCAGATTATAACCAAGTGTGTTCTGTACAGGCCCTTTCTGCTACACCACCTTGTAGCTAAACATACAGTCAGAAAAAAAAGCAACAGCTGTGTGAGTGTGTGAGTGTGTGTGGGTGTGTGAGAGATAGAGAGAGAGGGAGAGAGAGTGTGTTAGAAAGTGTGTGTTTGTGGTGGGGTATTTTTCTTGTGTGGTGCATGAGTCAGTCTGTAATTGGTCAGGAAATATTTTTATTTGCCTTTTTCACACAGTAAATATTAACCATGTTTTTTTTTTTTTTTAAATAATAACTGATGATCTCTTCATAGCTCACTCTGTCAGATCAACTTTAGTCTGTTATAGTTATTGTTTTGATTCGGTGACCACCCATCCTGTCTTATAAGGAGCATCATTGCTCTTATAGTGTGCAGAGTGAGTTTATCTAAACATCTAAGCAAACAATCAAAAAACAACAACCTGACCCTGGGCTAAAATTACAAAACTGAAGCATTAACAGAAACTACTGAGCCTGTTGTTGACAGTCTACAGACCTGTGATGGTCTATGGGAGCAGTCTGCACACCTGCGACAGTCTACCGCACACATGGGCATTTTACAACCCGTGGGCCAGACCCGGCTCATGGGTCCGCCACATCCACAGGGGATAAAAGAACAGGGGAAAAAAAATCTCGCATAATAGAGACTTATGAGTTTGAACTGCTGTACAATCTGATTGCAACAGAGGGTGCCATTTTAATTTGGAGTGTGTGAAAATGTACTTACTTGACTCTCGCATAGACTGTTTGATGATCATTAGGATGAGTGCAGTGAAAAAGAGAAAAGTTGATTTGGAATGTCGTGTTTTTAACATAGAGTGGACTTCTTAATATTTTGTTACTTGTGTGGGTTCAAAGGCTGGTTGCCTGATACGCCAAAATGCAATTTCTGTTTTCAAAGAATATAATATTAAGAGACATTTTTCAACCAAGCATGCCAACTATGCCACCAACCTATCGTTGGAGAGAAAACAAAGGGCCCTGAAATTGTTCTATGATTTAATCGCCAATCAGAATATTTTTGTGAAGCAGATTGTGGTGAGCATGGACTTATTGTTTTATTTTGGTGAAGTATTCTGGAGTCCTGTTTCCTGCTTGTGCTGTGTGTGTGGCTGCTTACCTTTCCCCAGAGGCTGCTCCCCTCCCTCGCCTGTGGCGCTGAGGCTGATTGCACTCACCTGTTTCCAATCAGCATCTCCGGGGTATAAGACTGCTGCAGACCTCAGCCTCAGTACCTGGACGGTCTAGCGGTAAACACAGTGGAGATGCTGGGGGTGTTGATTGCACTGAAATGGGTGGAAAAAGTTAAGAGTAAAGAGGGTAGTTATATGCACGGATTCAGCATCAGTATTAGCTAGCATTAGATCGTTCCATTCAAGCAGCCGTCAGGGTTTATTATATGAAATATTACAGTCAGTGACAAGAATAGTACAGCAGGGGGGCCAGATCAGTTTTTTATGGGTTCCAGCACATATAGGGGTGGAAGGAAATGAGAAGGCAGACGTGATGGCTAAGGAGGCGTTAGGGAAGGAATCAGTGGAGCTGAATGTTAGGTTAAGTAAAGCGGAAGTTAAGAGTATGATATGGGAAAAGCTTATTCAAATGTGGCAGAAGAAATGGGAGGGTGAGAAGAGAGGAAGGCATCTGTATAAGATTCAAGAGAGTGTTAAAGTTAGGAGGCTGGGTAGTGGACAGAGAAAGGAAGGGTCAGCATCGATAAGGTTGAGGTTAGGTCATTGTGCATTAAACAAAACACTGAAAATGATAGGGAAACACCAGACTGGGTTATGTGAGGGATGTCAGGTGGAGGAGTCAGTGGAGCATGTTCTAATGGATTGTAGAAGATATGAGATAGAAAGGGGAGAGATGAGAAATAAGTTGAGGGAATTGGGTATGCAGGACCTTACACTAAAGGGAGTATTACAGATGGGGGACAGGGCACATGTGAGAGTGTTAGTCGTGTTTTTAAGGGTGACGGGGTTGATTGATAGGATTTAGTCGGTAGGAGTATGAATGTGTGAGTGTATGAGATGGGAATGGGTGGTGCACAGGGTTTTGTATAAGAATTGCCAGAAGAGGGCGGTAATGCACCGTACACAAGAGTGCCAACTGCCGTTAAACTAAAAGAAGAAGAAGAAGCCTCAGTACCTGAGTATTATCGCCTCCACGCAGTGGTACACGGCTCTTCATCTTGACGAATAAGTATACATTTTGGAAAGATTGATGGTGAAATTTACCTGGGCTTTAATCTTTCTGTTTTCTGTCTTTTCAAGTGTCTTCCTCCGTGCCTCACATCAGCTCACAGACCAACACTCTCTCAGACTCTTTTAGTTTACTCAGGACTCCGGACTACCTTGGTTACTGCACATTCTTCCACAAATAAAACCTGTTAAACCTTATCCCTGTCTGGCTGCTTTTGGGTTCAGAACCACAACACATCACACAGATGGCCACACAAGAGACAGTCACAAAAATAAGCTAAATGCTGGCTCATAAGCTGGCCAAACACAGTAGGTCGTTCTCAGAGGGTGAGTTTTTGTATGACTGTATGGTTGAGACTGCTAGCATCCTGTGCCCTGACAATAAAAGTTAGTTGGAAAAGATCAGTCTGTCTCATCGGCCCATTACCAGGCATGTGGAAGTGATTGATGAGGACTTGTCTGATAAACTGCTCAAGAGAGCAGCTGACTTCACCCATTTTTCCATAGCTCTAGATATGAGCACAAACGTCAAAGACATCGCCCAGATACTTACTCATAAGAGGGATCAATGATGAGTTTGAAATTGTGGAGGAATTTCTTGCCATGGAATCATTGAGAGGGACAACGCAGGGGTGTGACCTTGACGAACATGTGTCAGGATGTTTGGAGAAATTTAACCTGCAATGGACTAAATTACTGAACTGATGGATCTCCGAACCTCACTGGTATAAACGTCAGGCTTTTGTGGAGGATACAGGACTGCATCATTCACGAAGAATCCCTGTGTAAATCTATGTTGAAACTGGATCATGTCACCAAAACAGTGGTAAAACTAATAAACTTAATCTGGGCTCAAGGGCTCAACCACCGCCAGTTTATTCAGATGCTGGATGAAAGTGAAGCAGAGCACACAGATGTGCTGTACCACTCTTATGTCCATTGGCGGAGCCTGGGAAAGGTGCTTCATGGTGTGTGGTAGTTGAGAGGAGTTGGATTGGATGTCTGACTTTGCATTTGGGGTAGATGTACTGAGCCATCTAAATGACCTAAATGTGAAGTTACAGGGGAAGAACACATTTGTGCTGTATTCACACCTGACAGCGTTCAAAGCCAAGCTGATCCTGTTTTCTCGGCATATGAGCAACAAGTGTTTCACACATTTCCCAATGATGGCGACACTGAATGTGCCTTTAATGTGTTGTACCTTTATTCCAAATAACATTGCCCCTGATAGTATTTTTTCTGTAGCTATGAAGAAACTTACAAATCTTAAAGTGGAGCTCAGGGAGAGTGCAGGTAAGGTGGTGTTGGGTCTAAAACCTGCAACAAATGACTCAAACACAACGAAGAGAAAGACAATGGTATTAGATTTCTTACTCTCGAGGAGAATGGACAGAGATACGTTCAGTTACAATCTCCAACCGCTCTAAAGCATCTCTGTCCTTTCCTCTCTTTTTATTATCCTTAGGGTGGTCCCTAGTTACATAACGCTGCATACACTAAAGGGTGGGGAATCAATCTTCAGCAGCGTATTCACTTTCATAACACATAATTATTAACAAGCAGACAATCTGTGAGGGTCAAGATGACCTTGCTGGCATTTCACAATCTCCTTCCTATGATAGGAACGGTTCCTCCTTATACTACTACTCCCACGTCTCACAGCGGAGGTTACAAAACACATACCTGCTAATTGGAGAAACAAGGTCAGAGAAGTTAGAAAACACTCATGAGTACTTTCTCATGTGCTGTGTAACAAGAGGTTAAAGCAGTTCATAGTTGTAGGAAACTTTTCCATTTGGAATTTGAGTAAGACTATTGATAATTTGTATATACATTTATACACATTATTCTGACAGGGGGGTATGTCATGGAATTGGTTAGACGAAATTTTAGGAAAATGGGGAGCCATTTGGGCTAAGATAGGACTCTGTGCACTAGTAGTCCTAATTTTAATTTCCTTTTTGACATGTTGCATCATCCCCATCCTGAGAAGACAGCGTTTGCGGGCTCTGGACAAACAGCTATGGTGGCTGGTCTCCAAAGAGCTCAAATGTTAAACTTACTGACTCCATCCCAAATGCCAAACTCTGCCTGGACGAAAAGGAGGCAGGGAACGGAAAGTGTCCGGACATTCAAATGATGCGCTTGAACCAAGAGGTTGCTGCAAGTCTGGTCTCTCTGTATTATCTGTAATTTTTGTAATTTTTTGCTTGATTTTTTTCATATTTTTGTCTTAATTTTGTTGGCTGATGATGGATACTTCTGATGGGCGAAGAGTTTACTCAAGAGAAGAGCTCCTTTCATTGAGGAAAAGCAAATCTGGACAACATACAATTCCAGAGGACATCAGGAAGTGTTATCGTGGTTGCCGTGCTGGTGCAAAGGTGAAGGCAAAGCTGAATGCTAGGAGGTGGCGATATAAACCCTTTCTTCCATCAATCATCATGGGAAACGTCAAACCTCTGCCCAACAAAAGCAATGAGCTGGAGATCTTGGTGAAAACTGAGAAAGCATACCGTGAGTGCAGTTTTCTGTGTTTTACTGAAACCTGGTTGAATCAAAACAACTTGGACTCCAGTGTGGCTCTACCTGTCTCCACTCTCATAAGGTCAGACAGAGATGCTCAAGCTAGTAGCAAGAAGAAAGGAGGAGGTCTGGCTTTATTTGTCAACCAGAGATGGTGTAACCCTTCACACATAATTGTCAAGGAGAAGTTGTGTTGTCCAGATATTGAACTGTTGGCAGTTGCTCTCCGGCCATATTATGTTCCAAGAGAATTTAGTCATATCATAACAGTAGTTGTTTAAATTCCACCCAAAGCAACTGAAGAATGCTTTGCAAAATAGTGTTGCCAGGCTACAGACTCAACACCCTGAGGCACTAATAATAATATCGGGAGACTTCAACCATGTCACCCTCTCCTCTCACCTGACTGGATTCACACAGTTTGTGAACTGTCCTACCAGAGAAAACAATACCTGGATCTACTGTATGCCAACGTCAAAGAAGCCTACAGACCCACTGCCTTACCACCACTGGGCAAGTCAGATCATAACTTGGTCTATCTGCAAACCTGTTGCAGACCTTGTGTGCTGAGGCAGCCTGTGACCAAAGTCAAAATAAGAAGATGGACACTTCAAGCCAGCGAAGCTCTAAGGGACTGTTTTAAATCAACAGACTGGAATGTGCTGCTGGAAACAGATGTGGATAGTATGAGCACTGGCAGACAGGTTGACTGCTTTACTGTTTATGTCAACTTCTGTAGAGACACAGTTATACCCACAAAAACGGTTCCCTATTTCCCCAACAACAAACCCTGGATCACAAGAGACATAAAAGCAATCCTTAACCAGACAAAATAAGCTTTTAAAGATGGTGACAAAGAACAACTCAAACAAGTGCAACAAGAGTTGAAGAGGAGACTGAAGATGGCAAAGCTGGAATACAAAAAGAAGATAGAGAATAATCTACAACACAGCAACATCCATGAAGTGTGGAGAGGAATCAGTACCATCTCTGGACGCAACAGTCAAAAGAAAAGACAGCCAGTGGTGGGTGATGTGAAAAGAGCTGATGAACTCAATCTGTTCTTCAACAGATTTGACACTGCTGTCACTCCCACTTCCACTGCTACTCCACCTTCATCTCTGCAACAAATCTCCACTACAACTTCTCCCCTTCCTCCTCCATCTTGTTCAAATGTCTCAACCACTTCAGCTGCCTCCCTCTTAGAACACCAGTCCTTGTCTGTCACCAAAACAGGGGTGAGGATGGAGCTTGGAAGACTTTGTCCTGGGAAGGCAGCTGGTCCAGATGGTGTGTGTCCAAGGCTGCTTAGAGACTGTACTGCAGAACTGTGTCAACCCCTCCACAGGATCTTCAACCTGAATCTACAGCTGGGGCGGGTACCTGCTCTGTGGAAAACATCCTGCATTGTGCCAGTATCAAAAACAAAATGTCCTGCTGAACTCAATGACTACAGACCAGTGGCCCTCACACATCATGAAAACCCTGGAGCAGCTGATTCTACGCCTTCTGAGGTCTGAGGTCAAAGACAAACTGTACTCCCTGCAGTTTGCATACAAAGAACACATTGGGGTGGATGATGGTGTCCTCTACATGCTTCACCATGCCCTGTCTCATCTGGAGGAACCTGGGGTTTATGTGAGGATCATGTTCTTCGACTTTTCAAGTGCATTCAACACCATCCAACTCACCATACTCAAAGACAAGCTCACAGAGATGGGAGTGGATCCTTCCTGTGTTTCCTGACAGGAAGGCCACAGTTTGTCAGGCTGGGGAACTGTGTTTCTGGGACATTAATGAGCAGTACAGGGGCTCCACAAGGGACAGTGCTCGCGCCGTTCCTGTTCACAATGTACACGTCAGACTTCAAATACAGTACTGAGTCCTGCCACATCCAGAAATACTCAGATGACACCGCTATTGTGGCATGTTTCAGAAATGGACAAGAAGTTGAATACAGAGATCGGTAACACTTTACAATAACTATACACTATAAAGCATTAGTTAAGCATTGGTTAAGCATAATTTAAAGGGGCCATGGCATGAAAAACTGACTTTGTTAAAGGAGGGGGGTGCATATCAGGGATAGAAAACTGCTACAATCCCCCCAAGTTCGAAAAAATTCCATCCAGTCTCTTTTAGTTATCTCTGTATTTAGGAACTGTGTGCTCAGAGCCGGCCGTTCTGAAAACTCCACTGACATGATGTCATGTCAGTGCTGGCGGGTTGATGGTACTGCCCATGGAGCCGCCCACTGCCCTGACCAAAAAATTATCAAAACAGCGCCATTATTCCCGGCCGCTCGCTTGCATTGCTCCGGTTAGAACCAAGGCGAAAGTACGATCTGAAAAAGAGGCAGTGTTTGCTCTGTTGTTGGCTGCACAAACGAGCACAAAACTCATTTGAAAACTCCCTCATCGGAGAATTTGAGGACTCAATGGGTGAATTTTATTTATAATGGGAATGTACCCGCGGCACTTCCAAAATATCTGTATGTATGTGCGCACCATTTCAGTTCGGACTGTTTTATCAAAGAGGGACAGTTCAGTGCTGGATTTGCTAGATGTCTGAAGATAAAGAATGGATCCGTACCAACTATCCGTGATCCTACTACAAACGTGGCATCTGTAAGTTTGAAAGTTTTATTTTGACTTACTGTTTAGCCTAAATTCCCCCCGGTGCCTCAGCACGGCCATCTCCTTAAGCGTGACCCTCCTGGCGGTTTTGAATAATACATTGGATGTGTCGACTAGGTCGCTTCAAGTCGCGTTTGGTCTGAACGCAGCTTCTTCCAGGGCCTCTCCCTCTGGGTCAGACTCTGGCTCAAACTGGTAGGATGTACGAGCAATCTTCTTGCAGCCATGACCGAGCCAGTGTAAACATTAGCACATGGCTATCGGAAGTGGACGTGGCTTAGGTGCAGCTCATTTCATTAAAGAGACATGGCCCAAAAGGGAGGGTTTTGAGCAGAGCTTTTTTAGCTGATAAAAAGAGCACTAAAATAATTGATCCAAATTGAATTTCGACCGAAGGACATCACAGACATGCTTTTCACACACCAGGGGACTATTTTAAGTTGTGTGAAATTGGCATGTCATGGGACCTTTAAGCATTAGTTAATCCTTAATTCCTCATAAACTCATCATGAATTCATCATTAGTAATGCATTACAAAGCATTAGCAAATACAGTTAAAAATGCTCAACTAATACATTACTAAGCATTAGTTAAACAGTAGTAAAGTGCTTAATTTATTGTTCACTCATCATTTGTAAATAATTAGTTAATACATTACTAAGCATTAGAAAACACAGTTATAGACATACTGTATATAGCATATATAGTTATAGCTCTGTATAGCATATTTTATGCATTACTAAGCACTCAATAAACCCGGTTATAAATGTTTTGTTGCTCATTGATAACCATTGATAGTTGTGAATACTTTATAAAGGGTTAGCAACTGTGTTAGTAAATGTTTTACAAACGCTAATTTATACAAAATGAAAAACTTCTTAATGCTTATTAATGCAGTTACTACTCATTAGTTACCCATTAGTTAAGTATATTCTGTGAGCCCATCTGAAGTGAGGACTATCTATGCTTTATAAAGCATTTATAAAGCATTTATAAATGACACAGAAGCAAAGATATACAAAGTGTCAGTTTTATTGGTCCCAAACAATAAAACTGACACTTTGTTTCTTTTAAATACACACTTCAAACAAAAACATTCCATAAAATTTAAAGTAAACTTGACTTATTTTCTGTCAACCCACAAAGCCTTCACTGTCCTAAGCTAATACTTTGATGGGAAGTGGTGGGATCCCTTTGGAGACCCAAGGCGCTTGAGTCTCCATAAGTCTCCATAGTTAAACACTGGAGGAAAATATGGCTATCATCAAATTGTTGGCCAAGGAATGTGACCAAAATAAAAGAATGAAAAAGGCTGTGTGGTTTGAGTAAGCCATAGGAAAAAGATGTTATTTTTGGCGTGAACTAGCCCTTTGAAGTGCACGAAGTGTTTTACAGTAAAACAAAGACACAATTTTCAAATGTTCCAAAGATAAGTGTGTAAAAAGAAAAAAAAAAAAAAAAAAGGTCAACTGACACCCCAGCTAACAGGCTACATGGTGTACAACCCCAGGATGTAAACTAACTCTTGGATGACCTACTAAACACTGAACACCTTCAAAGATTCTTTGACAAACATCTTCAAGAAACAACAGTCTGTGATCGCATAATATAGAAAAATAAAACACAAGCTCTTTTTTTATTTTTATTGATTTATTTATTTTTTTATTTGTGCAGTGTGACAATACAAGACATACAACAAACAGCATTTGTGGGTTTGTGTGTGTGTGTGTGTGTGTGTGTGTGTGTGTGTATTATATATGTGAATAATAATGAAAAAATAAATAAATGAATAAATATTACAATTGTCAGACAAGCAAAAGAAAATTATAATACATTAACAATATCAATAATAATAATAATAATAATAATAATAATAATAATAATAACACTAATAATAATAACAATAATAACAATAATAATAATAATAATAATAAGAAGAAGAAGAAGAAGAAGAAGAAGGTGAATAGCAATAATAATAATATGGATGGAGGGGGGGTCTTGAAATTTGTGGACCACCTCGGGTCCCTTCCCACTCGCGCGAGACCTGCCTGCATCCCCCCAGGCCCCCAGGCCCCCCCCCCAACCCGTGCATGCCCCGGACTGAAAGCGGCACAACACCTTGCCCTATGTCTATATATGTATTTAGTCATTGTTATTTACTTAATATACTTTATATTTATTTATTTATTTATTTATTTATTTATTTATTTATTTTTATTTTTTATTATTATTATTATCATTATTATTATTATTATTATTATTATTATTATTTTATTTTATTTTATATATATATATTTTTTTTTAAATTTCTCTCATATATGTGGTTTCTAATGTTGTGCATTAAAACCGAGGAGAGGGGTTGTCCTGAACTATAATTTGATGTGATTGAGACCCCTTCCCTCTTCCTAATCTAGTGTGATGTGCAATAAAAAAGGTGATGTGCCATCTGAAGACAGTCCAGGGCGGAGAACTGGGGGAGGGGGGAGGCCGGGAGGGGAGATCACAGGTCATGGCCCAACAGGTGCGACCCAGCAGGGACCCGAGCAGAAAATAATAACTGTAAATGTAAGTATATAAATAAATAAGTATAAATAATAATAATAATAGACAATGACAATAATATTCATCATAATATTTGTAGTAATATGTAGCAAAATAAAAAATAAAAAAATAAAAAAATAATAATAAAATAAAATGAAATAATAATAATAATAATAATAATAATAAATAGATAAATAAATAAAATAAAAATAAAAAATTGGGAATGAAAGTGTCAGAGAACTGAGATGGACGATGTTGTGACTGGTTTGTGGCAGATTATGATTGTAGAAAAGTGATGAATGATAACCAGGTAGAGTTATAATTATTGTCAGAGGAGTTTGTATTTTCTAAGGAGATGTAGTCTATGAGCAGGTTTTTCCAGTGTATGATGTGTATGGAGTTCCGAGACTTCCAGTTCATGAGGATAGTTTTCCTGGCGACGGTTAGTGCCACTAGAAGTGAACGTGTGTGTGTTTTGTCAAGTTTTAATGTAGATAGATCTCCTAATAAACAGAGGGAAGGGGAAAGTGGGATGTGGCAGCCCATGATCTGGGATAATGTTTCTGTAATGTTTCTCCAGAAGTGGTGAACAGGTGTGCAGTGCCAGGTTGCATGAATATAGGTATCAGTGCAGTTTAGTGAGCAGTGTGAACAGTTTCCAGATGATGAGAAGCCCATTTTTTGCATTTTGTGTCCAGTCAGATGAGTTCTATGAAGGATTTTGTATTGTATGAGTTGTAAATTGGCATTTGTCGTCATGGAGAAAATGTTCTTGCAGATTTGGGGCCAGAAGTCAGCATCAGGAGCAATGGAGAGGTCAGATTCCCATTTTTCTGAAGGTATGGAGGGTGTTGAATCGGCCTGTGATAATAATTTGTATATTTTAGATAGAAGTTTCTTTGAGGAAGGGATGTTAATGAATTTAGAGGGTAACGGGGGGAGGTCTAAGTTTATATTCTTGTTTTTCATTGTTGATTGGATGGATGATGAAACCTGTAGATATTGTAAGAATTGATGGCTCCTGATGTCAAACTTCTGGACCAGGAGAGAGAATGGGACCAGGGTGTTATTGTTGAAGATATGTTTGAGGTGAGTAATCCCTTTCTCTACCCAGGTGCTGAAGTAAAGTGATTGTTTATTGCTGATGAAGTCCAGGTTGTGCCAGATCGGGGTGAAAAGCGATGGTGCCAAAGTGGAGATAGTAATGCTGTAGAATTTCCACCAGGCTGTCAGGGCCGATGATATTGTGGGGTTCTGGAAACAGGGGTGTTTTTTGATAGTTTGACTAAGGAATGGTAAGTCTGAGGGATGGATGTTTTTGCTAACTATTTGTTCTACGTCTAACCAAGTGCTATCTGACTGGGTGGGGTGGGTCCATTTGTAGATGTATTGAAGTTGATTTGCTAGTGAGTAATAATGAAAATTTGGAGCATTGAGTCCGCCTAAACTTTTTGATTTTTGAAGAGTGGCCAGTTTGATTCGTGGGGGTTTATTTTTCCAGTAAAATTTGTTGATGGATGAATCGAGGGAATGAAACCAGGTGAGAGGTGGATGAGTGGGAATCATTGAACAAAGGTAACTGATTTTGGGGAGGATTGTCATTTTAACTGTTGCTATTCTGCCTATAATAGATAATGGGAGGTTCATCCATCGTTGGAGATCGTCATTGATTGTTTTTAGGAGTGGAGTGAAATTCAGGTTGATCAACTCTGACAGCCTGGGGGAAATGTGGATGCCTAAGTAGGTGATGTGACTTGCGCAGAAGGGGATGGGTGTTGTAAGGGCTGCCACAGCCAGACTGTTGGTGTTTAATGGGAGTATGGAGGATTTGTTCCAGTTTATTGAGTAGTCAGAGAGAAGGGAGAAGGATTTGATGACTCTGATTACTTCTTGTAGTGATGATTTTGGATTCTCCATAAAAAAGTAAAATGTCATCTGCATAGAGGCTGATTTTATGGTGCATGTTGGGGGTTTGGATTCCTGTAATGAGGGGGTTCTGACGGATGGCTGCTGCTAGGGGTTCAATGAAAATGGTGAACAAAGAGGGAGAGAGTGGGCAACCTTGTCTGGTCCCCCTGTGAAGAGTGAAGCTTTGTGAGGTTTGTCCGTTAGTAATAACTGTGGCTGTAGGTGAGGTGTAAAGTGTTCTAATCCAGTTAATAAATGATTCCCCAAAGCCAAAACTGTGTAGGGTGTGGATGAGGAATGACCAGTTAACTCTGTCAAAGGCTTTTTCTGCATCCAAGGTGGCTATGATTGAATTATGGTTATGTGTGGTTGAGTGGTGCATTATATTGAATAGTCTGCGTGTGTTATTGGATGAGTTTCTTCCTTTAATAAATCCTGTTTGATCCGGGTGAATAATGGATGGAATAATTTTTTCTAATCGGTGGGAAAGTGCCTTGGTGATAGTTTTAATGTCAACGTTGAGAAGTGAAATGGGGCGGTAACTTGAAGGCAGGGTGGGGTCTTTGTTTGGTTTTACAAGCTCTTTTAATTTCTCTCTCTCTTCCTCCCTCTCACACACACATGCACGCATGCACACAATGACTATGTGGACTGAATGGCTTGCCAAAAAACAACACACTATCTGTATTTTCTTGAAATGTCATGAATTAACCTACCAAATGCACCATGACGGTGCTTTTTGGCAAGCCATTCATTCCACTCAATGACTGCAAGGTGGTCTTGAAGCAAAGTTTCTGTTCGGTTTCCCCTGAGCCTCCAAATCTTCTCTTTGTAAATTCTCCAGGCCCTTTCGATATGCTGGGTATGGGCTCCAGTAAGGGGATGAACGTAGGACCTGCTATGGTTTACCGTGTGGTGCACATACCCTAATGCAGGCAGCACACGGTAAGCGTGCCACTCATCACTGATGATGTTGGACCCACCCCGTACATGTTGGGTGATTAGAGGCACCAGATGTGCTCAGTTTCTCCGCTCTACCAGGCGTAGGCCTTCGAGAGTTTTTCTTTACAGCAAGCATCCCAAAGACCCATTTTTTCCGGTCCCAGGCACCAGCCATTCTTCCTCTCCCGTACTGATGCAGAAACAAAACTAATTAGGTACAGTATGAACAAATACAAAACATCGGTTGACTTTATTTCATAATCATGGTAAGTAAATTTTAGTAATACACACCTTTCGTTTGTGCCGAAAATGGCTCTCATCGATGGTGACAAACTCTCATCTGCCGCCCATCCTCTGACCAGTACGTCTTCTCATTTTTTTTAATGCCGTTACACACACTCTCCTTAATTGTTTGGCCATTTTGCTCAGGGTTGCTGAGCTGCCCGCAATGGTGTCATCTAGCATGTCGATCTGCCGCAGCCGTAGCCCCTGAGCAAATCTATAAAGACAAAAAATAAATAATGTTTATTGTTAACATGTATTCACATAACATTTATAAATGAATAAGATAATCTCCTAACAGATCCCTGTGCACCACACACAAGGATCTGTGTGTATCCTTGTGCGCCACTGTTTGTACCATGGCCTATGATCTAATCAGCAGATGCAAGAGGATATATTATACAGAGCACTGCTTCTCAAACATTTCGTGTCGAGACCCCCCAAAGTCATCATATTTGAACTGAGGACCCTCCCACCCCATCTGGATACATATCGTGAAGTGCAACAATGCCCCAAAATGGAGTGTGTTATCTAACCTCAATGTGTGACCATGGCATCCATCAGGTGCAAACATATCAGTTGTCTCCATATATGGCCACTAATGAGACATGCCCAAATACAGGTATACTGTATTATTATGACATCAATCAATCAATCAATCAATCAATCAATCAATCAAATTTTATCTATATAGCGCCAATTCACAACAGTCGTCATCTCAAGACGCTTTTCAAGGAACAAGAGCAGGTCTAGACCACGCTCATTGTTTGATGATCAAGAACCAACCTAAGATGGGTTTTGGCCCATCTCAACTAACATGAGTAGCAGTGGCAAGGAAAAACTTCCTTTTAACAGGCAGAAACCTTGGGCAGGACCCGACTCATGCCAGACAGCCACCATGCCGCTGCCGGGTTGGGGAGGAATGTAGAGAGAAGAGGGGAGAGGGGAGAGGACAGGGGGAGAGAGAGAGAGAACAAGATAAGGGAAGGCAAGAGAGAATGAGTAAGGAGAGGGAGGGGGAGGGAGAGACAGTAGAGAACGAGGGTGAGAGAGAGACAGGGGGCAGCAGAAACAACAGCAACAACTACAACAGATCATGTAATGGTGAAACAAAAAAGAGTTCAGTTTACAGGGTTAGGATATGAGTGATTATGGACAATGTTAAATTAATTGAGTGTGATTACAGTTAGCAGGCCTAATCGTAGTCAGCTCTAGTTTATGTTATTAATGTCAATCATGTCAGTGAGGCTGATGTTCATGTCTGCAGTAACAGTCCAGAGAGAGAAGAAGGAGCTCAGGGCCTGAGGTGGACAATCATAGACAGTAATCAACTCTAGTTTTATGTTATTAATGTCAGTGAGGCTGATGTTCATGTCTGCAGTAACAGTAACAGTAACAGTCCAGAGGAATCCAAGAGAAGAAGCTCAGGGCTTGAGGTGGACAATCATAGATGATGCGGCTAACAGTCCAGAGGAATCCAAGAGAAGAAGGAGCTCAGGGCCTGAGGCGGACAATCGTAGATGATGCAGCTAGAGTCAGGCAGGTCTGCAGCAGCCATCAGTCCGGAGCAACCAAGGGGCAGGGAGTGTCTGCAGCAACGGTCCAGAGGAGCCAAAGAGATGGAGGAGCTCAGGGCCCAGGGTGGACAATCAGGGATAATGCAGCTGGGGTCAGGCAGTTCCGCAGCAGACCGTCTGCAGCATTAGTCCAGTGGCAGCTAAGAGACTCAGAGACACTCAGAGAGACAGAAAACTGGTTAGTGACTTATATGGGACATAAAGATCTAAAGAAGAGATAGAGACAGACTCTAGCTCAGTGTGCCAGATAGCCCCGGCAGTCTAGACCTATAGCAGCATAACTAAGAGCTGGTTCAAATCAGCCCCGACTATAAGCTTTATCAAAGAGGAACGTTTTAAGTCTACTCTTGAAAGTTGAGAGGGTGTCTGCCCCCCGAACCTCGAGCGGTAAATGATTCCAGAGGAGAGGTGCCTGGTAGCTGAAAGTTCTTCCTCCAATACTACTTTTAGAGACATTTGGTACAACGAGCAGGCCTGCAGACTGTGAGCGTAACGGTCTAGATGGAAAGTACGGTATAACAAGCTCGTCGAAATATGATGGAGCCTGGCCGTTAAGCGCTTTATATGTCACAAGGAGGATTTTAAACTCAATTTTAGATTTAATTGGGAGCCAGTGAAGAGAGGCTAAGACAGGAGAGATGTGCTCCCTTCTTCTGGTTCTAGTCAGTACCCGAGCTGCTGCATTTTGGACCAGCTGAAGAGTCCTTAAAGACTTACTGGAGCAGCCTGATAAGAGAGAATTACAGTAGTCCAGTCGAGAGGTAACAAAGGCATGGACCAGTTTTTCTGCATTGCTCTGAGACAGTATGCGTCTAATTTTTGAGATATTGCGCCGGTGGAAAAAAGCTATCCTAGAAATTTGTTGAATGTGGGAGCTAAAAGACAAATCCTGATCAAATAAAACTCCCAGATTTCGCACAGTGGGGCTGGATGCCAGGCTGATGCCATCAAATGTAGCTAAATTACTAGAGAATGCCTCTCTAAGGTGTTTAGGACCGAGGACAAGAACTTCAGTTTTGTCTGAGTTGAGCATCAGAAAGTTGTTGGTCATCCAGGATTTTATATCCTTGAGACAGGCTTCCAACCTGGCAACTTGGCCTGCTTCCTCCGGCTTCATGGATAGGTATAGCTGGGTGTCATCTGCATAACAGTGGAAATTAATCGAGTACTTCCTCATAATTTTCCCCAGCGGAAGCATGTACAGGGTAAAGAGGATCGGTCCAAGCACTGACCCTTGCGGCACTCCGTAGCAGACCTTGGTGTGTGCAGAGGATTCATTATTAACATGGACAAACTGGTATCGATCCGTTAGATACGATTTAAACCAGGAGAGAGCTGATCCTGCTATGCCTATAGATTGTTCCAGTCTCTGAAGCAGGATGCAGTGGTCGATCGTGTCAAATGCAGCACTAAGATCCAACAGGACGAGAACAGAGAGAAGACCACTGTCCGAGGCCATGAGTAGGTCATTTGTCACCTTCAGCAGAGCAGTCTCTGTGCTGTGATGGGTTCCAAATCTAGACTGGAAATCCTCCAATAAACCGTTGTTATGAAGAAAATCACAGAGTTGATTCGCAACAACTTTCTCCAGGACTTTAGAAATAAAAGGAAGGTTGGATATTGGTCTATAGTTAGCTAGGGTGCTTGAGTCAAGAGTAGGTTTTTTAAGAAGAGGCTTACTCAATGCAGTCTTGAAAGACTGGGGAACATATCCTGTTGATAAAGACGTGTTAATCAACTTAAGCAGGGACATACTGATCAAAGGAAGAGTTTCCTTCAGCAATTTAGGCGGAATTGGGTCCAAAAGACACGTAGATGGTTTGGCTGCCAGCACCACTGACTTTAACTCAGGAAGGTCAATAGGTGCAAAGTTACTAAGGTGCACCAGAGGCCTTAGGGGCTCCTCAACATTTTTAGGGTTATCTAAGAGAGAGACACCTGATGAAGGCAAGAGGTTACTAATTTTACCTCTTATTTTTAAGATTTTATCATTGAAGAAGCTCAAGAAGTCGTCGCTGCTGAGGGCTAATGGGATACATGGTTCAGCGGTGCTCTGACAGTCCGTCAGCCTGGCTACAGTGCTGAAGAGATATCTGGGGTTATTCTTATTTTCCTCAATAAGAGACGAGTAGTAAGTTGTCGTAGGGCCTTCTTATATTTATCAAGACATTCCTGCCAGAGAAAACGAGCTTCAGCTGTTTTGGAAGAGCGCCAAATCCTTTCACGTCTTCCTAATAACTGTTTCAGCTCACAGGTTTCAGCATTATACCACGGGTCTAGCCTCTCGCGTGTAAGAGTTTTCTGTCGAAGAGGAGCAACTGAGTCTAGAATTGATCGCAATGTGCCTGAGGTATCATCCACGAACTGATCAAGTTGCAAGGGACTGATGTTTAAGTATGAGCTATCAGCGAAGTTCTTCTCAACCACAGAATTTAGAGCAGACGGAATTACCTCCTTGAACTTAGTCACAGCATTTTCAGACAACCTTCTAGTTAGCACGGCTTTGTTATGAGGAGAGTAGCCTGAAAGCACAAATTCAAAAGTTACTAGAAAGTGATCAGACAAAAGAGGATTTAATGAGCTGACTAACAGGGCTTCAGCTTCGAGGCCATAAGCCAGGACAAGATCGAGGGTGTGGTTAAAGCAATGCGTAGGTCTATGTACACATTGTGTAAACCCAATTGAGTCTAGCAAGGACAAGAAAGAAATGCTTAGGCTATCATTTTCCACATCCACATGAATATTAAAGTCACCAACAACGATGACTTTGTCTGCGAGAAGGACTAAATCAGATAGAAACTCTGAGAATTCTGACAAAAACTCAGAGTATGGGCTCGGAGGGCGATAAACTATAGCAAATACCAGTGGTCTCATGGACTTTGAGGCTGGATGCGGAAGACTGAGAACAAGACTTTCAAAAGAGTTATAATCCAGTTTTGGTCTTGGGTTAATTCCAAGACTGGAATTGTAGATAGCTGCAACTCCACCACCTCGGCCAGGGTCCCGAGGAATGTGAAAGCTTAGGTGGCTAGGAGGAGTGGATTCATTTAAGCTGACACATCCGGACGCAGCCAAGTTTCGGTTAGGGAGAGTAAATCAATGAGATGATCAGAGATTAGTTCATTTATTAACACAGATTTGGAACTTAGAGACCTTATATTCAGTAGACCACATTTTATCTTACTAGTACTTGGTTCAGCTATGTTAGCAGTTTTAATTCTAGTAAGGTTCTTGTTATTTACTCCTTTTTTAATTGATCGGTTAGAATTAAAGAGCCGAGTACGAGGGACAGACACAGTCTCTATATTAAAGTGACAGTAGCTAGGAGGCTGCTCTAACAAAAGTGCAGAGGAACGTGTAGAGCTGTGGCTATGCTCCCTGATCTCTATATCAAACTGATTGTAGCTAGGAAGCTGCTCTGAAGGGAGTACAGAGGGGCGTTTTACACACTGCGGCTCTGCTCCCTGATCTCTGTGTATAAGTGGTAGTGGCTGGGAAGCTGCTCTAAAGGAGGCGCAGGGGGCGTGTAGGACTGCGGCCCTGCGGCCCTGATCTCTGCTTTGAATTGTCAGTGATTCGGATTAATAAAATCAGCCAGATTTCTGGATAAACGGCCCGCTTCATCTCGAGTGGGATGAATGCCGTCCCGACTAATCAGACCAGGCTTGCCCCAAAATGACTTCCAATTATCAATGAAGCCCACGCCGTTTTGCGGACACCACCTCGACAGCCAGCGGTTGAATGATGAGATATGGCTACACATCTCCAGCAATCTCCATACACACACAAGGGACAAGCCAGGACTGACAGCGATCCAGTTGTCCTGAGCCACAGATCCAGCCGCTATGCCCATATACTTTACACTGTATAGTTATTTAGTTAACTCTGGCAACGCCACCAGGAGCGCAGGGCCGTAGACTTGCTTTGGATGCACGCCAGGCTGGAGCGTGAAAACCAGCAGGCCTGAGTTTATTACGTCCGCCAAAACAGATTCTGTCTTTTGTGCTCCATAAATGGACATGAGTGGATTAAAACCTACGTCTCTATACATGGACCTGACCTCTACACTAATAGAATCCCCACGACTGGGTAATCTGCGATCTGCGATCGCACACATTTGCGCGACCTCGCCCTTGCAAGGTCACTTCCCGCCCTCAGGCGTCTTACTAGTAGTATAGTTTGTTACTTTTGATGCAATGATGTGCCTTTTTCATGTCTTTTTTCTAGTTGTCTTAAGATTTCAGTATCAGCTGGAGATCCCACTAAAACCATGTGGGGACTCTTTAGAACCACTGATATTGAGGGAGAGTGAATGACACTGACTGAAGGACACTGAAACCGAACCTGACATGCTATGTGCACAGATTTCAGTAACTCAACCTAATCCAAATAATTGATAAAACATTCAATGCATGATTTTTCATATTTTATATTTTATGTATACTACACAGACACTGGTAATGTAGTGAGCTGTAAATTTATGACACATGTTTAATGTTACTGCTATTACTTGCTTACCTGTAGATGAATTCCATCCAGTTACGGATGGGTATTTTTGAGTGGCTGAAAATGTATTTGTGCCTGACCGAAATTTGTTTCGCTCCATGTTCTGGTCGTCGACAGACCCTAGAAGAATGGCAACATGGGAAAAAAAGAATGATAACAAGGAATTTATTTATTCATTAATTCATTTATTTATTTAATTGCTCTAAATCACATGTTCTCACTCCTAAGCTGACAACCATTGGACAAGGTTTTGTCCTGCAGTTACTCATCTGCTATGATTTATCTTTTATTACATGGGAGTTTAACACAAAACTAATTGTCATAGACCCCCTTTGGGTCCTGACCCATAGGTTGAGAACCACTTGGTTAACAGAGTAACAGACCTAATCTGGGGAGAGACACTGAAATGAAAAAGTTTGAGAACCAGTAATCTAGATGATTCAGTAATACAATAAACAATTTACTCTGTATTAGGTATGCGGGGAAGACATGCCAAAAAGAAGAAAGCAGCAGTGGAAAATGTGGAGATGGATTCTTTGGAGGAGAGGCTCATCGCAGATGCTAGTGGTGTGTACTGTACCTTTTGATTGACTTGTATCCCTTTGATGTTTACTGTACTGTGTGCTAGAGCTGTAGTAGTATGACTTGACCTGAACTTTACTTTCCATTAGGTGTGTCCATTGCCCCAACTTAAGTCCTGGCAAACAAAAAAATTGCAGATGAGTTGGAGCTGTATAAGCTGAAGGCAGGCTGGCAACAGGAGAGGATTGATGAGCTGACCAGGGAGAGAGATTTTCTGAAAGAACAGATGGCAGCAGGTAAGTCAAAAGACACTTCACTATAATAACTCTGGACACAACTTATGGCCACTATAATTGTATTAGATATTGTTGTATTATATTTAATCAATTTTTTGTTTTCGATTAATTTAAATTTGTGTTTTTCTTCATTTCAGTTAAGTTGTTTGTTGTTTTGATTTGTTCAAAATGAGTCTGTATGCAGAGTGCAGAACGGGGTGGGCTGTCAAATAAGGGGGGCAGACAGATAAGGGAAGGATTGAGGGCTCATCGTATCTAATAATATCAGTTGTTACCAGTTAGAATTTTCAGACTTAGAAGAAAATGAAACAATGTTGACCCTTAGCGGTCAGCAGACCCTTCATAATTTTGACCCCTGCAATGTAGCACTGTGGATAGCATTGCGCCGACAAGGACATCTCCCAGCCATAGAGGCAGGCTACTATGAGGAGGGGAGAAGCCAGCTCTGCTAGTATGGCAGCAAAATGTGTTCCCTTAACAACAATAAGATTTCCGGTGGCTGAATTCTTAAAGCACCGTCCATACTGTCATATCATACCCATAATGTTTTCAGAGGCAGTATGTTAATTTGGAAGGCAACTGGAAACAAATTTCAGAATTCTTAATGCTGCTGACAGAAACAACAAACCAGCACACTATTGGAGGCCACCGTTCTTGGTCTCCACAACCGTTCTGTGCACTGCATACAGACCCGTCTCGTTTGTACATAGTTCTGAAGCCCTCAAAAGTGTTCATTTAACTAGTAAGGGGAAGGGTGCGGGGGCGTGCTTTTCTGGTTAAAGAAACACAGCTAACCAGTTTTGTATCATTATTCGTTTGGGAATCATTAAGGTGGTTGATTTGAGTTGTACATCACTGGTCCACAACAACTCAGATAAACTCAATAACTGTCAAACTATATGAATGCATACAAAACAAGCTTTAAACTCTTTCATGTGAGATGATGCCGCATGTTTGATTTCTTTTTGTTTTAAATAGCTCTTTAAAAAGATGGTGCAGCATCCACCTCCACCCTGAACACAGCACCCAACCAACGAGGGAGGAGTTGGACTTCACGTTCCTCTTCTGACGACTCAATGGAATCGTCCTCCGACAGTGGGAGTAAGTCTGAGTCGGAGTCTGACTCGCCTGACTCATCTCCGGACAAAAAGAAGAACAAGAAAGACAAGAAGAAGACGGGGAAAGGGAAAAAGAAGGTGAAAAAGTCGAAGGAAAAGGAGATGGGCCCAAAGGCACCTCAGAGAGGTAAAAAAAATAAATAAAAACACGCAAATGAATAAATGCAGTCATTGTTTAACTATGTGTGTCCCTGCCCATTACAAGCTAACCATCTCCTCCCATTTACATTGTATGAAAAACTATGCAAACAGATCGTTCACGATGGGAGAAGGGGCTAAATTCAAAGTCGAAAATGTATTTATTTATTGTCAGCCAATATCTTGATGATAGTTGTATTTGGTTATAGGTTATAGTGGTTAACTATGGGGACACAAAGGACACTGTGTGCATAATATAGTGTGTGTGTGTGTGTGTGTGTGTGTGTGTGTGTGTGTGTGTGTGTGTGTGTGTGTGTGTGTGTACACCTTTTGATGTGGATAAAACTAATTTTATGTTCTCTGTATTGCAGCCCTGAATCCGAAGCAGGCAGTGGTCAGGTATAAAAAAATACTAAAGGTATTCTGTAAAGGAGGGACCACCATGGGTGCTGCGTTCTAAACCGTTGGTGTAGATCGTAACACAGTGGTGGCCACTGCACCCATCGCTGAGCTTTTTATCCCTGCACCGAACAGGTACAAGGACATCTTAGATGGTCACAAAACTGGTCGTGTAAAACGAGCAATGTTGACTTCTGAGTGCTCTCTGGCAATTGAACAGGATTCTGCTATAAAGGAGAATCCGAAAACACTTAAAAACAACAACAAGCTGCTGCCCCTCACCAAGAAGTGAGCTTGGGCTAGGATGCACTGAGAATACCAGTCAAGTGGGCACACCAATATAAAATCTGATCTATGTCCAATATTTAAAAAAATAATAATATTTGAAAAATGTTGCATTGGTGTGCTCAGTTGTCCTCACTTGACCGGTTACCTACTGGAATAGCACTGTGATCCACTTGTGTACTTATGTACTATGATCCACAAGATGTTTTTCTTTGGAGTGTGATTGCTTTGTTTACAATTGTGTATTTAATTGGCCAGTTTTATTTGTCGGATAAGAATGTTTTATTTTTCCACCATATAGCCTTGGAGCTGTACACCATGTAGCCTGTGAGCCAGGGTGTGTCAGTTGATTTTTTACACACTGTTATCTAGCAATATTTGAAAACAGTATATTTGTTTTACTGTAAAGCACTTTGTGCACTTTAAGGGCACTCACACACCAGAAGTAGGTGGCTGCCTGATTCTGGGATTCCGCCAATGTATTTCAATGGGAAACAAGCGGATTCCTCCTCCTGCAACTTTTAAAGTACGCAGGAGGAGAAATGGGATAGTTCACCAGTTTACTTGAAATGTTAAGGTTTCCAAAGTGTATATTTAAAAGAGCTTTTATTTTATTTTTCTATTTTATACGATCACAGACTGTTTTTATTTGAATATGTTTGTCAAGTTCACTTTAAATTTTATAGATTGTTTTTGTTTAAAGTGTGTATTTAAAAGAGTTTTTTTGTTTGGGACCAATAAAACTGACACTTTGTATATCTTTGCTTCTGTGTCATTTATAAATGCTTTATAAATGCTTTATAAAGCATAGATAGTCCTCACTTTGGATGAGCTCAAAGAATATACTAAACTAATGGGTAACTAATGAGTAGTAACTGCATTAATAAGCATTAATAAGTTATTCATTGAGTATAAATTAGTGTTTGTAAAACATTTACTAACACAGTTGCTAACCCTTTATAAAGTATTAACAACTATCAATGGTTATCAATGAGCAACAAAACATTTATAACTGGGTTTATTAAGTGCTTAGTAATGCATAAAAAAAGCTATACAGATCTATAACTATATATGCTATATATGTCTATAACTGTGTTTTCTAATGCTTAGTAATGTATTAACTAATTATTCCCAAATGATGAGTTAACGATGAATTAAGCACTTTACTAATGTTTAACTAATGCTTAGTAATGTATTAGTTGAGCATTTTTAACTGTCTTTGCTAATGCTTTGTAATGCATTACTAATGATGAATTCATGAGTTCATGAGGAATTAAGGATTAACTAATGCTTAAATTATGCTTAACCAATGCTTAATAGTGTATAGTTATTGTAAAGTGTTACCCAGATGTAACCCAGGTTACTAGGCTCTGATGAAAGGATCATCAATTTATTAAACAAATAAATACATAAATATCGAGGTTGGTTAAATGGGTACGCCTGAAGTGATTCTACATGGAATAAATAAATTAGTTCATGGTTTAAAAACATTAAAAAGGTCAATAAATAGGTGAATTTAATGTACAAAAATAATAACTACAATGATGCTGGTTATATTTATGCTTGTTTATATGCATATAGCTATGAAAAAAGAGTGTTATAAGGGCGTCATAGTGATTTATTTCTGGCCTATTATAGGCCGGGTCTTTTTCTTTCCATGGATTCGAGAAGTGAAGAATTCTTCTGCTGGGTTCTTCCCTGTTCTGCAAGGTAGAAGGGAGGCTCAGTGGTTGTGGCGGGCCACCCAACAAGGACTGTGATCTTTGGTTTGCTTGGAGTTTATTTTGTGAAATATTGTCACCGAGCTCATATGTAAAGGAATACTGTTCTCTGTTTTAATGTTTTCTACTTTTTTCTAACCGTTACCAATACAATTCAATACAAAAACCTACCTATTGTCAGTTGAGTCCTTTTACTCTGTCACTCATTACAATTTCAAATACCCCTTTCTCCTGTAGCGAATTTAGTCTTCTGATTTACTGGTCCACAGAGTTGTTAATATTATAGAGAAACGTATCTGTATCATCTAGCTATTGCTAAGGACAGTCAAGGCTGAGGTGGGTTACACAGAGATCTAATAAGAGCCTTCAGTGACTGGAGTCACAAAAACTGTCTCCTCCTCAACACCTCAAAGACAAAGGAGATAGTCATAGACTTCCGTAGATCCAAACCCCCTCTTCAGCCAGTGAACACCTGTGGAGTGGACACCAAAGTGGTGACATCAAATAAATACCTAGGTGTACATCTGGATAATAAGTTGGATTGGTCTAAGAATATAGACTACATCTACAGAAAGGCGCAGAGCCGTCTCTTTTGCCTGAGAAGACTCCGATCAATAGACATCTGTAGTAAGATGCTGCAGATTTTTTATCAGTCTTTGGTGGCAAATGTACTGTTCTACGCTGCAGTCTGCTGAGGAGAAAGCATCAAATACAAAGATGCAAGACGTCTTAACAAACTGGTGAAAAAGGCTGGTTCTGTGGTCGGACTCAAGCTGGACTCAGTGGAGGATGTGATGGAGAGATCTACACTGAGGAAGGTGGAGACTATTCTCAAGAACATGGATCACCCACTTCACAACACCTTGGTGGACCAAAGGGCAAATGGTGGTGGACGGCTCCTCTCTCTTCGCTGCAGGACACAAAGATTTAGAAGATCTTTTTTACCAACAGCCATCAGGCTCTATAACTCTTAATAATAGATAACTTTTATAGACATATTACTTGAGACAACAGACAATTGAATTTCCCTTCGGGGATCAATAAAGTTATTCTTATTCTTATTAAGACATTTATAAACTAATAAAAGGACCTTAAAATCTATTCTGAAAGACACAGGAAGCCAATGCAGAGACTTTAAAATTGGTGTAATGTAGGCTCTCCTCCTGGGCTTCGTCAGCATGTGTGCAGTTGAGGTCTTAAAAAGGGGTGTGGGGATAGGATCTAAAACACAAGTCACTGGTCTAAGATGGGAGACAACTTCCTCAATCTCTGCAGCATCAACCAGGGCAAACCTATCAAGTGTTTCCCCATTTAAAAACACAGACTCAGAAGAGCTAAAATCATCAGGCTTACTGTTTAAAAAGTTTGACCTGATAACATCAATTTTATTTCTGAAGTGGACTGCAAGGTCTTCACAGGATAAATCTGAATTAAAAGGGTGCTTAAAAAACAGGATTTGTTAATTGGTCAATGGTTGAGAAAAGGATTTGGGGGTTATTGCAATTGTCAGTTATTAATTTTGAAAAGTGGTCCTGTCTTGCTTGTTTTACTGCTCTGTTGTAGGGGGTGATTTGTTCCCGAAAAATCTGATGATGCACTTGTAGTGGGTTTTTGTAGAGCATTTTTTGGGTGGTCTGTAAACAGTTAAGCAAAATATAGGAGGACTGCTAAAAACAAAGGAATGGTACTCAAATGAAATAAAATCACCAGATAAAACCTCTTTAAAACCATGTGAACCTCAAAGAATTGTTGCAGTCCCCCCACCCGTCTATATTTGTGATGTGATTGCTTATTAGGACCATTTTAAGAGTATTTGATAGAGTTAACTGAAGTTATTGAGCTAATGTTAGACATTATTAACCGGTATCAGTAAGCGATATGAGATGTTTGTCTCAGATAAATACTGTTTTGTTAATGTCAGATGCGATGTAATCTCTCTGTAAACATTGTAAATATTGTTTTTGTTACTTGCAAATACTTGAGTAAAGGCTCTCAGTGGGAAAACACTGCATCACTCTTGTGATTCTTTCTCATCCTCTTTCAGAGGCGTTACACTTACTTACTGGGATAGTGTGTTAGTAGTGTTGGTCACCTGCTTTAATGAATGAATGGCCCTCACCACTAGCAGGTACTGGGCCGACAAAAAACATTTAAACCTGGTGAAATAGCCCATACATACTTACTTAGAGCTTTTGAGGCTCATGTGAGATTGCCATGATGCATAGCTCAGCAGCTATTGTAGTAGAATAGAATAGTATTCGGTGTTATATACTAAAATAGTATATAGAATAATAGAAAAAGATAGTTTATTAATGTCTAATCATCAATTAAAAACAGCATAAAGACCAATTATATATATATATATATATATACATACATACATACACACACACACAGAGGGGAGGGGCTGGCAGAATCTCCTGAAGACCTGAAAATTGAAGCAAGATAATGCACCAGTAATAACATTGACGTGACCAGGCATGTGATGGGCGGTGATTATGAAGTTTTGGTTCACTGATAACCACGTTAGGTATCTCATGTATGGCATTATTTCTGAGCAGGAGGAGCGACCTTTATTGATTGCTCACTATTTCTCATTGTCGCACTAAACTGTGATATGATTGCGTTACTAAGACTTTCCCCACATGTGACACGCAACGTCAATGGGGTAAATCTCGGACAGTAGTAAGTAAGACGATGACCAGTAGTCTGGAAATGAAGGAGCGCCCCTGGGGAATAACGCCCATCTCGAAATTTGAATGACCAAGGAAGGAGAGCAATTGCTGCTTTGTGACTTCTTTAGAAACAGTAAATGAGTTGCAAATATTACTGATGCAATCTAATTTCTCTCGTGGCAGAGAGGCTTTCATCTCAATGGAGTCAAGTGAAATGCCCAGAAATTTGAGGCAAGTGGCCAGGCCGATAGTTTTTTCGTCAGACAGTGGAACATAGAGATAATTTAACATTTGCTTCAATTTGGAGATGGATGAGCTGGGTTGGTCGTGAGGAGGGTCAATTAGCAGGAAATCATCTAGAAATTGAAGCAGAGATGGGATGCAGACTTTTTTCAGACCAAACAGATGCCACTGTAAAGGATGAATTGGGATTATTTTGAATTCATCAGTGATGTTGGCTTTGGAGAGCCATGCGCCTTGGCCTGCGAGCTTGACGAGCTTAAAAGTGTTTAGTAGTGTGTCTACAGAGGAGTAGTGGAGAGAAAAAGGCTCTGATGGGATGAGACTGTTTATGCTTGGGATGGGCCAGTTGTGAGGAACAGAGAGATTGA